ATTCTGGGAAGAGAGGAAGTATCAGCCACACTTTGTCGGTTTTGTTTTTGGGATTTTCGACCGAGTCGGCGACTTAGCCTGACAGTTCACCCCATCACCGGAGCTTGCGAGAGTGCACGACCTATCCAATGCCTCGTGGAGAGGGGACATGTGCGTGACTCTGGGCACGTGGCGAACTTTGACGAGCTGCATGTGGGCAGAACCTTACCTTTGATGAGGTACCGGTGACCTACTGGATTGACAAATCCATCAGAGAGAGTCCGGGAGAGGTACTCGTCAAAGTCCAGCGGGGTAGCCGTGGCTAGTGCGGTGTGACTTGGTAGAGTGGGGAGATTCGGACGGAGTATCCGAGTGTAGTGGTTTGAGCTTCTCTCTTTTGTCAGTTGTCCTGATAGGATAACTTTCATTTATTTCCGGGGACGGAAATCGTTTAAGGAGGGTAGTCTGTAATGCCCCATTTATTTGTGAATTATTTGAAATTATTTTTTATTATTATTATTATTAATTATTTATTATTATTATTATTATTATTATTATTATTATTATTATTATTATTATTATTATTATTTATTGAATGCCTAATTGTCAATTAAAACGTTGTTTATTATTATTAAATTATTATGTGTGAATTATATATATAAATATTATCTGAGTTTTATTTTAATTGTGGTGCGGCGAACCGAGCTAATTTATCGGCTAAGTTGAGCCTGAGACTCGAGCCGTATGTCGAGCCATTAATATTATTAATTGGAAAACCAAGAGCCCAAGCCGCAAGTAAAACCCGCACGACCCGACCGAGAGAACCGCGCCCCAGCCCAACCGAACTGGCAGCCCGACCCGGTTTTTCCCCCTAAACCTTGCATTTGTGTGTCTTGTGGAGAAAGAAAAATAGAACCCTAGGCTGTTAAAAATCACACCCGCCTCTATCATTTCACGCATCACGCTGCAGACAAATCTGCTCTTTCTCTCGTCTCTTTCACAACAGATAAATCACGCCCGCTCTCATCTCCATTCCTCTCTCGTTAGATCACCGTAACCCTCAATCTCTATCTCTTTTCTCTCTATCATCCGCTCGCGAGCTCTCCCACCCTCGTGCAAATCCATCGCCGCCAGAATCTCTCTCTCGCTCGGAGGAATCAGAAGAGAAAAAGAAAAATCGCGATCACTCATCTCCTCTCATCACGTCGCCCTCTTCATCATTCTCGGTCTCGAACCAGCAACAGATCTTCACGGAGGGCCATCCAACGGCAGCCATTGGTTCTCACAGTGACGGTCGGATCTCCAGCCCGCCATCACCGTGCGCTGATTCCTTTCCCTCCGGCGAGTCCACCCCAGCGAGTAGCCCCTACGCGGCAGCACCTCCGCGAGCCACCATCCTCCACCGGAGTCCCTCTACCACCACGAGGTCCCAGCGCCGCTGCAACTCGGCAATCCGCGCTCCAGCATCATCGGCGACTCCCCTCTTCCGGCGAGCCAAATGCCATGCAGCACCCTCGTTTCCGTCAATCACGAACCGTTACTTCCCAAGCGATCACCGGCGATCCATTGTCCTCACCTCCGCGAGCAGCCCGCGAGCAGTTTCCGGTGAACCCCATCCGCCGCGACCCTCTGTCACGACCAGCAGACCCTCGGCGACCACCTTCTGTCGCGCAGACGTTCACCGGCAGCCGCCGCTCCTCCTCCGCGAGCCGCGCGTAAGCCGTCAAGCGCCACCGTGTGTTTGCTGTCATCCCCGTTTGCCTTCTCGCTCGTTTCCCGAGAGCGGTATTGACGGCTTGAACCTTACGTCTTTTCGTTTGATATGTGTTGATCGTATTTACGTGTTTATTTGATGTGTTGAACATGTTCTATGAATTATATACGCCTATGATTTTAAGTGTATGTATATATGTATTGTTGATGTTGTTTATTATTGCCGTGTTTATATGTGAACTTCGTCGATTCATGTGAACCGAACGAGGTCACATTGAAACCGTGTGAAGGCTGTGGGCAGAAACGTGTTAATTGCATAATAAAATGAGTTGTGATCCAAATCTGTTGAAATTCGAGTATGTTGTGTCTTTGGCTTATTTTCTTGTTGTGTACAATTTTCAGAATTTGTGGACTTAGTTTGTTAAGGGAAATTATTTATTTTGTTATTCTGCCAAAAATTGTTTTAATTATGATAAATTGATCTGATGCTGTAAAATTCTGACTTTCGGTGGAAGTGCTTAGTTTGTGATATGTTTCATGCTGTAAAAATATGAGAATTTTTGAAGTTCATATGGGTTCAGTTTTGATGAAAATTCGAAAGCTGCAGATTATGGTTAGAATTTTTAAAATTCGTATATTTAATGTTAATAGCTGAAATTTTTATATGATGTTATTCACATGTTGTGACTGCTCGTGTGTAAATTTCATAGGCTAATTCGTTCAATAGGTCTGGTGATAAATTTATGTTCGTTTTGTTGTAAACTTGTCTGAATTTTATAAAATAGTGTATTTTGAGTTTGGGGCTGAAACTTGGTGGTTCTTCTTAGTACTGGGAGATGAATGTTTTGTTAAAATTTAGAGTCTAACTCGTTAGTTTGCTGGACCATCTTAAACATGTGTAAATCTCGGCAATTATTTTCAAATAGTAATTTTTGGTTAAGTATTGGTAACCGACTTGTTATGTGGTTCCTTGTGACTTGTTTGATTGTCATTTATTTGAATTTGTGTGAACTCCAATAAGTGGTTTGGTCGAGTCTAAGTCCTAGAGTTCCAACGTCCACAGAACTTCACGAACGTCTTTGTTGAATCAGTTTCGACTAAGTCTATTTGTGATTTCTTTTTAGGTCAAGATAAGGTATTGATTTTAGTACCTTGACTTAATGTAGGTATTTTGAGGTGTTGACCTCACCCTGCTTTCGAGATTCATGATTGTGAATTGTCGCTTCGACCAGGTGGGTACATTTGTGTTGTATCCATAATTATCACACTCTTTATTCGTATAAAAGTTTTGTTTGAAAATTGTTGTATGCATGAGAACCCTAGTCTAAGTGTCCCGTATGATAGTGCCTTTGATGAATGCGAAAACAGTGGGAAGTCATCTACCCGTTGTATCCGGGAGGAGACGCCCCAAGCCGTTGTACCCAGAAGGGGAAAAACATGTCCACTGTCTCCTGGAAAGGATCCTACGAACCGTTGTACCCGGGGGTGGAAAGGTTTCCAGTTACTTTCATGCCGTTGTATCCGGAAGGTTGTTGTATGTACATAGGAGGTTTGCGATAGGGCCGGGTAGGGAGGTTAGACCTTGGATTCTATGCGTACTGTGGTTACGTTGTTTTTAAAATCTTTATACTGGATAACTGTGCGATAATGGTGAGCTTGTTGGTTATGCTCACCCCCATTATTTTTTTGTTGATGTCTTCTCTTCCTTTCTTTAGGATGAGATGAGCTGGAGGCGGTGGCGTAAAGACGAGCAAGATGGTGGTCATTAGTTGATGTGTCTTTTGCTTCCGCCAATTATTATTGAACTACTTGTTTTTATTTTGGATTGTTTATGTTTCCGCTTTGAACCATGTTTATATTTGGATGAACCGTTGACTCATGTTAGACTTTCTGGATGGTTTTGAGACTTATGAATAAGTTGGTATTTTTTTTTATTTTTTTTTTATAACTGTTAGCTTATGCATGTGTAGGATCTATCTATTTGTTGTATTTGTTTAATTGTTGCCGGTAGTTAAGTAGCGCCCGTTAATCATCAAAGTTTTAAATTGGGAATTTGCGGAAAATTAACTCTGATTTTTATAAATTAATTCGGTAAATTCTTTAAAGTAAAACGGGGCGTTACAGTGTGTTCTTGCCTTAATTCTTCGTTGTCTTTTGCCTAATTTTCCTCGTTGTGTCGGGTAGCCCTAGTTTCTCCTCGTCGTCGTTCTATTTTCTTTCCTCAGGTTCTCACTTTATTTCCTATGCTTTGTTTTGAGGAGTGCCCCGACCTTCATCTCGTTCTTCTATTGCCATCTAGTTCCTTTGGAATGGAGGAAGACATCATTCATAAATTGGAAAATTTCCAATTGTTGGATAAAGAGGCTAATATCATTGAAATTGAGCCAGAATATATCTAGATGTAAAAGGAGTCTTTTTGGAAAAATAGTTGGCCACAAACAAGCACAGCTTGATTTACTGAAGAACACAAGGTTTGATTTTGGCAGATTAGGACTTCTGTAACGGTGAAAGAGTTAAGCCTCCATTATTTTCAGTTCTTGTTCAGAGATTTAAGAAAAAACTAAAGTGGAAAAAAGAATCAACTGAAACTTTGAGAATCAACCACTACTTCTTAAGTAATGGGAAGAAGACCTAAATGCTGATAACCAATCCTTTGCAGAGTTAGACACCTGGATACCAGTCTCGAATGTACCAGTAAACTGGATATAAGCAGATGTGGGTCTTAAAATTGGCAAGGCCTTCGAAAAAGTTAAGGATGTTGTCATACCATAGGGAGGCAATTTTGCTGGAAAATGCATAAGGCTCCTAGTCACAGTTGATATCCATTAAACAATGATGAGGTGTGCCAACATACAACTTGGAAACATGAGAATTCTAGTAGATTACAAGTATGAAAGATTGCCAAATATCTGCTTTTACTGTGGCATCATAGGGCACTTGGACAGATCTTGTGGCAAATAAGCAGAAGACATAGCTGCATGAGTCATTGCCGATGGTCTCTTTAGGGATTGGCATTTAAGAGCTCAAGAAAACCCATCACGCTCAGGTTAAAACATCTGGAGTGGTAACTCGGAATCACCTGCAACCACAAGCAACCACAGTAACAAAAAATCTTCAGAAACTATCACACCTCATCAACTGCCCATCTGTGCAAAACCAAAATCTTACAACAAACAAAGCCTCTATCCCAATTCCCCCATCTAATTAAGTTAGTTACTCTTTTGAAAACTAATTTTTCATTTTATTTGATTTATTAGTCTTGTAAAAATTACTTTATAATTTTATTTTAAAAATAAATATATGCATGAATGAAAGTATGCATTAGATATAGTAATCGGCGCTTACTATTTAGTCTGTAGACATTAATTTCATATGAATTCATATTTCAATTATTTATCGTCACGTGGCAAAAAAAATTTAATGTTGATGTTTATGCACCAGTACCCTAAGATAATAACATGTCAATAAAAATATAAACTGAAGACTATTTACGTCTCACAATTCATGGGTTTTCTTATTATAAATTTTACATCTCATAATTTATGTATACTACTACGGGGTGCACAATTTTAAGGCTATTTATCTAGGCTTATAATTATATACATGAATAAGGAAAAATGTACGGGATATATATAGTACATGACCCGTGCGAAGCACGAGATATATTTATTTGGAGAATATTATATTATAAGATGCAATATTCAATAAAAGTTTATAATACGCAAAAAAATTGTACAATGTTCAATAAAAGTTTTATAATATTCAAGTGGAGTTTTAAAGTCTCTTTATATTAAGACTACTGACAAAATAATATTTTAATCATTGAGTTTCCTTTTCCTTGTAGCCAAATTGTAAATGTGATTTGAGGAGTACAACAAATCGATATATAGCTGACTTGCTTTTTTCATTGTAGTTTTTTTTTTTTTTTTTTATAATGAATTTAAAGATATTCTAAAATATAGCAAAAATTAATTTTTTTATTACAATTAGGAATTTTACTAAATATAAACTCTCAATCTATGGTGTTAATCAACGTTTAAGTCTAAAAAATTAGGAATTTTTACCTCTTTTAATCAACGTTTAAGTCTAAAAAACAATAGAGTTATTATAAGTTTTTTTTCTACATCTTTTAAAACATTAAATATGAGCATGTTAGGGCTAGCTTGTAAAATAATTAATATATTATCTCACTAAAACATTTATACTAATAAAAATTTAATTTTAGCATATAAATTTATCCCTTGATATAAGAGAAAGTAACAGTTTTACTTATTGTTGTTCACCATATAATATTTAATTATTATTTTATTATATAATAAAAATAATATTGTTAAATAGTGTAGTAGAATTGTTATAAAATTATATGAATTTATTTTTTTTTACAATATGGATTTAATATTTTTTTTGTGATTTGATAATATAAACAAATCTATACTTAACTTTGACAAATAAAACAAATAAATACTTTAGTAAGTATTTAATGTATATACTAAATAGGAATATATTTGGTATAATCAAATACTAAATATAATCAAATAAGTCAAAGTGTACATTTTTATTTGGTATTTGATTTTTTTTATTTATAAAATCTTTTTATTATATTTATGTTTTTAAAATAAAACAAATAAATAAATTAATTAAATAAATAAAATATTATAATACCAAAATAGTAATGACATTTAATGTAGTTGACTTTTCTGGATAGTAAATATAGTAAATAAAATCTCCTTTTATATAAGTATAGATATAGATTGTATAATACGAAAATAATAATGTAATAAATGTTGTTGACTTTTCTTTATACTAAATCTGATAAATGGTATACCTTTTAATATAAGTATATATTTTTCTAATGTAAAATAAGTAAGTCACTTTATTGCATATCTAGTCTATAAATATTGTAGAATAAATAATTCACGATATAAGTGAAATATCTATTTTTTAAATTGTAGAATATATAAAATCACGTTTTTTACATCTCAGAAACCGAAACCCATACCACCACTTGCTGCAACAATCTCATTGAACTTGATGCTTCGAAAATGGTTTGGCAAATCCCGAAACTCTGATTCCCAAGAGGTATTCAACTTGCACTGTCGTATTGGAGGGGAACAAACGTACTTTATTTGTGTGCGCTTTCGGATTTTACTGCCAGCCGATGAGTTATGGGAATATCAATTCACTTTTTTGACCGCCCATTTATCAATATAGTTATCGTCTTTCTGTACAATTTCCGGTGCACTTGACCCATATTTTCTCATTAGGTATGAAAATATAATATTCATGTCACACTTTATAATAAAATACAATAAATGTATGATATTTTTATGGTATTTTTTAATATAAATATACAATTTTTTGTGAGAAAATATAAATGTTTACCTGTTGGAAGTCTAACAGCTTAATCTGATTTATTCTCTTTCAACTTTGGATTAGATTGGCTTTAAAGTGGTGTTTCCCCACTACTTATAACTATACTAACTAGTACTCAAACACGTGTACATTCACAAATACAAATAAATTAAATATTTTAAATCATAATATTGATATTATATTTATATAATTATAAGTTATAATATTGCATATTTATTTTATAAATTTGATCAATAATAAAATTGAACAATTAATTCCTCCATCTCAGATCTCCTTTATTCCATCTCGACCGCCATCAATTGAGTCTCAGTAGTGCCCTCCCACCAGAGTTTCGCGGCTTCTCATCCCCGATTCAGGGTGGCCGTGGTCGATCCGGCATCTTGGCGGCCTTACCTCGGCGTGGCGTTTCCCTGAGCGTTGGTGCCCATGGCGGAGGGTGTTGAGATGTCCGGCGAGTCGTCGCGTCTTGCTCGCCCGCTGGCTCCGAGTGTTGTCTTGGGGGCGTTTTAGGGCCAGGGCTCGTGTCTAGCTCCCGCCTAGGTCCGGCCGATCTCTAGTGTTGTGATTGGTGGATTCCTCCGGCAGCGGCAATCCCAGAAATTTGATGTTATGAAAGGACCTATATGCAATTTTAAAAATTTTAATTATATTTCAATTTAGTCGTTGGGCCAAATTTATAAAAGCTTTATAAAAAATATTATTATTTCTATATATATATATATATATATTAAAATAATAAATACAATTAATATAAAAGAATAAATAAAAATATGAAATTTATAAATAAATAAATAAACTCTAAATGCATATCTACAGTGTGTAATAATTATGCTGTGTATTTGGATATGTGTATTTGGATATGTGTAATAAATAAATAAACTCTAAACAATAATTATGCCGTGTATTTGGATATGTGTTAGTATATATACGACAAAGTCTCGCATAATTGTTAATTATGTAGTTCATTTAGATATGCAATTTATGTCATGTATAGGTTCGTCAGTATTGGGGTGAAGAAGAATTTTTTTGATGGAACAGTGTGTAAAAGAAAGTGTATGTATATATTTGAGTGTAAAAGAAATTCGTCCTTAAAAGAATCCTAATTAACATTTGGAAAGTACAGGCATACGATGAATATAATTTAGAATTTTTCATGAACACTCAGTGAAAAGATTATGCTCCCAAGCGGAACTTTTTGTAAATTCCAACAAGGAACCAACTTTTTTTTTTTTCAAAACGGTAGAATTTATAACTCAAAAATATAATTGTACAAAATAACCCGAGCTACCCGAATGTAGGAACAAGAGGAGCGGTAACGACAGCGACTTAGAAAGAAAAATCACCAATAGAACTACTGCAATAAGTTGAGCTCCGGCATAGGTTGAAGCTACGATAACCGGAACAGATCCTTGTAGCAGCTGTACTAGCAAGAAACTAGCACCAAGCAAAAGGTATACCCGCCACTGAACCTACGGACCTAGCAGATTTATCACTACAACAAGACACCAAAAGAAGACCAACACCAACACACTACAAGAACAACCAACCTACAAGTCACAATAGGAAAACAACAACTACCATGGCAAAAGGTTACGAGCTGGAGAATTCAGCCACGCTGAGGAGGCAGCCCTTTCTAGCTGGTGGCTTTGGAAAGGGCGTAATTTATAGATCTTTGAAAGGAAGTAGCTATCAGCCAATTAGTTAGTTGATGGAGCTGTTAGAGATTGGATAGAGTTTCCTGCCTACTCTTAGTTTATGTTTCTATTTCATTTTCTTTTCATTTTGTGGGCTTACAAAAGCATTGCCTAGGGACTTGCTGTAAGCTTCCAGTAGGCATGTCTTCTGTAGTTTTTGGTGCTTTCTAATTCTAGTTTTTTAGGATGTTTGGATACAAAACTTATCAAAAAATCCAAACAGTTTTAACTCAACCACTTTTTTTAACTCAACCTAACTATCATTAATATTATTAATATAATTAAATAATATCAACCAATCATTTTTACACATCACATGAACCTTAATTCACTATTCATCCACTCACATAATTTTAATTAATCATCACTTCAAATCATCTCTCTCATACTTTTACATCATATCAACTTTAATTATTTTATTTTAAATAATATTTTAATATACCAACTAACAATTAACAATACAACTTTTTCAAAATTAACTAAAAAATCCAAACAAATCATCTCTCTGTTTTTTGCCTGGGCTGTTAGGTTTTGAGTTGTGGTTTTGTGGGTTTTTTGGGTTCTTTATGTCCTTTGAGTTCTTTTTCTTTCATCTTGGTAGTTGTTTGTAAATCAAAGGTCTTCTATTGCTTCTGTTTAGAAGTTTTTGATTTTGGACTCNAGAAGAAGGCCTGAACTATGGAGAATTCTGAAAGCCAAAAATTTTGGAAAACCCAAAAATTCTTGGCTTTCCATAAACACTGGAGCACATAGACAGACAACTTAGTTCAATGATCAGAGGTTGAAAAAACATGTTTAGATGAGTGACGGGTTTATTAGTAAATACCATAGACGCATATAATTCACCTAACTAATAATGGAATATGACTAAAAAGGGAACATTTCAAAATCGTAACCGAAATTTGGTAGCAATTTTTCTTTATATTATGCTCTATTAACATGGTATTCAAGTTTCCACTAACGAAATGCACATGAGAGTGCCAAAATATTTGGACTAAAGCAAAATGTTACTAGTAATTCAACCCCATATTCGGAAATGGCCTTCGCCTAACATACATACATGATATTCTCATCTTATTAGAAAATTGCAATAAAACCAAATTATTCTCAGACCAAGAAAATCCAATCCAAATATATCTTAGATGAAGAAGTTAAATTACATGCGAACAAGAAATAAAATGCTCCACACAAACAAACAGACGGACCATTATAAATGTAAAATGTATTGTGGAGGGAGAGAGAGGGAGAGGTGATGGTGTGTGTAGGGAGAACAACGGACACAATCTGGGGAGAAGGGGGCCCATCATAATGGGTTTTGGGGACCATTGAAAGTTGGGTTTACTGAGATAGAGAAAAGGGCTGAAAAAGAACTTTGTTTTTTGGGAGCCCATGTTGTGACACTACACCTTTCATTCACATTTTGGTATATGCTTCTTTCAGTCCATGAGGGGCCTATATCTATTGAACTTTATTCCTCTTCCTCTATTTTATTTTGATCTGTTATTTGAATTTTGTTGTGTTTGGATTGGGTCCAGCATATAGAGAGATTACAAGATGAGGAATTTGCACCCCTTACTCCCCCATATGAAATATATTATAATTATGCACCCCTTTTATGAATATTTGTAAAATTACCTAAACAAGGCTAATTATTTGCTATTATACCTAAACAGTAAAATTAAGTAAATTATATCATATAATTAAAGACATCATATATTTAAGGAACGTTACTGATTTTACGGCCATTTTGAATGCACTCAATATCTTTTCAACAAAAAAACCGCCCACTCCCACCGCCCACGTTCACCGTCGTGCACAGAAGGAAAACTCTCTTTCCGAAGATACTCCAATGGTGAAGACAAAAATCGCTCGAGATCCTCGAAAAAAAACGGCGAACGAAGACGATGAAACACCACAGATAAGATCGAGTTCCCGTCTTCGTAAGATCCACGCAAAATCCAAACCCAAACTCATGCAGAAGAAGCTCGTCTTTGACAGAAATATGAACCCTAAACCTAGTCGAAAGCCCACTGTCAACGCAAGATTGAAGAAGCACATTTCATCTCCTGATTCAGACGACTTCCAGTCCAACGACGACCGTAGAACTCAAAAATCTTTTCGTCTTCAACGTAAATCAAAAATCCCCAATTCCACTGAAAATGAAAAATCTTCTGACACCGACTTCGAAGATGAAATTCAACCCGAAGACGTCGATAGCGAGGGTTTGGAGAGCGACGAAGAATCCCCGATCGAGAATGTCAAGAAAACAATCAACAAAAGGCAAAAACAACAGAAAGATGCAGTTCAGAAGAACAAGAAAAAGAGAAAAACTAACACCGGCGTCCCAAGTGGTATCCAACATGTTCAGAAACAGATAGTGTATAAGGTAAATTTTCGTCTACATTCCATTTTTTTCATTATTATTTCTCATCTGAAAGATTATTAATTTGTTTATTGATTTTGTTTATTGATTATCAACTATATCCTTTTGTCAGTTTAATGTGTGTATGTCAATGAATAAATCGTCATGGGTACCTCTGATTTTTGTTTGACTAAGCATGTTATGTAGTCCTATGTAGTCCCAGAGTTTAATAATCTTACCCCTGTGCACTAACAGGGGTATATAGGAATTAGATTCATATGTATATAACCGGTGAATCAAATGACTGTATTTTTTTACAATTTTTCATTGTGAAATGATATAAATCACTTGGGTTAATGTGTATATTCCAAGTAAATAACACTGTTGCTCCTTTTCACTCTTCCAATTTGGTTTTGCATATCTGCATCATTTGCTCACATAACTTAGAGTATGGTACTTTTTTCTAGCCAACTATCCATGTTAATGTGCAAGTACTTATAAATTATATGGTATAGCTAAGTTACCTGTTCATTTTCAAGTAATTTTTGTGAGTACTATTGTATTTTTTAAGTTTTTTTATAATATAAGCTCATATAATATGTGGTCACATATACCACACATATAAACTGAATATATATCATTTCCTTCAATATTTATCTTATATTTTGTTCTGTAATATACCACATATATACCATGCTCCTTTGAAAACAACACTGTTCTGTAATATACCACAAGTATATTAGTATCCAAGTAAATAACATTGTTGCTCCTTTTCACTCTTCCTAATTGGTTTTGCATATCTGCATCATTTGCTTATCATGACATATATAATAAATAATGCCCAACTGGTGCTCTTTTATATCTTAAGTATATGGTCTGGTTTATCTTCCTTTACATGTCATGATAAGTATCTGGTATAAATATACTATGAATATAACAAATATATAATCATACAGGTATATAAACATGATGTGTACATTAATCATACTGTAGGTTATAATATGGTTCTATAAATTATAAATAAACTCGAGTCAAGTATGTTATCTGGGTATATATATCACATATATACTCAGTCAAGTATAATAATAAATTAGGTATGATTAATCAAGTATATTAATCAATCAGGTATGATAAGTATATTAATCAATCAGCTATCTTCCTAATTTGGTATATTACTCAGGTTTATGGTATATATATAACAGAAATATACCAAGTATATAATCAATACTGTAAGTGTTAACATATTGTAATTTATGATATGTATGATAGGTATATGGTATATATATAACAGAAATATACCAAGTATATAATCAATACTGTAAGTGTTAACATATTGTAATTTATGATATGTATGATAGGTATATGGTATATATATAACAGAAATATA